TTATGTTGGCAATACAATTTAAAATTGTCAATGTTTTCAAATTTTTTATGTAGAAGAGGATTGTGTTGTCAACATAGAACAGAGCTTATATAGGGAAATTAATAAAATAATGGATGCACGTCATCAAAATTTATGACGTTAGCATGTCGCAAGAGACGTTTTCACGTGGCTCTGGTTCAAATTAACCTGATCTCAAAACTTTAGTAGCGGTATTGTCCGTCGGTTTTAATCTGATACTCGGACGGAATGTGAGCTAGTGGCAGTCTACATTAGAATACCAATGATTACCTGACGTCACACCTGTTTCTGCCATATGAAATACCCCCTCGCTCTCCATACGGAAAGTGTCAGTTAAAAATCGACGAACAATATGTCAAATGATGACGTCATTGAAAATGCCACTTAAAACGAACGTTTAGAAAAATGTTATTCCAAATTAAGGTATCCAATGACCTGTCAATATGTATAATAGGTTGATATAGCATTCGTCGCGAAAACACGGTTCTGGTTCAAGGTTGTTTTAGAGAGGTAGGTTGCCTGATAACTTTATGACGTCATCTGGGGGGGCAACATAATGCATAATACAAATCTCCATGGCGCCCTAGACGTGTCATCGGAATATCCTTTACCAGGCAACCTATGAACTTTAGGATCCTTGGTTCTGGTTAGAGAAATGACATATCGTTTCCTAGCCCAGTTAACAAGTGACGTCATCAATACCACTTGATTTGAGCGGTTTGTTTAACCAGGGCCATGTAAAAAGGGCTTATGGTTTGTCATTTGTTCAGATTACATTTTTATTAATGGGTACATTCAGGCGGTCCCAGCGGCTTAGCTCAGCCTCTCAGCAGGAACTTTATTCTCGAAACCACCAAGGAATAGCCTTCTCATAAGAATGATTAGGTACTCTGTCATTGTCAGTGTTATCCGGACGATAAAGACAGAACCTTCGTTCCAATGAGAACACTGTTCCTTGGTTTCGAGAATAAAGTTCCTGCTAAGAGGCTGAGCTAAGCCGCTGGGACCGCCTGAATGTACCCAATGAATTGATAAAAATCCCTCCCACGCCAAATCACCAGTTGTGACGTGGCAGCTTGTTATTTCTCGCCTTAACATAAGCTGTTTGAATAGCTGACGACTGGTGACACATAATAATGGGTTTAGAGGTGATTCTTGCGGTAATCCTATGTGAGTCACTCTTGGTCTTATAAATTTTTCTATAGTTGATCTTATAATGTAGCATCCTATTTAAGGATGGCAAAATAAAAAAATATATCGATATATCGAATTATATGATATATCGAAATAACATATCGATACATTGGATATATCGAACGAAAAACATCGATATTTTGAATATATCGATATATATTTTATTTTTTTCTACGAGCGTGCACGCATTTTAGGTCATGAAAATATTACTTTTCCACACTAGTTTGAAAAATGGAAAAGAAAAATAATTATGCAATTTTAAGTCACCTTGATACTTTCATATCCAAAAATGCGTGCGGAAAACTACATTTCCGCATGATCGTAGAAAAATAACGTTCTAACTATTCTGACAGAATAACTAAAAGTTAACTTTTGGAATGACGTTACTTCTCATGTAATTCCAGAAGTTAACTTTTATTTAACTGTCAAAGTAGTTTTATAATACCCGCCCTTAATCATGCGGAAAATCTCTTTATCTACAAGCGTTTGGTTATAACGTTTTTACATAACCATTTTTCTAGTATTTGAGTTTCGTCATGAGACTCATAACACAACTAGTGGTGTTATAGACGAGGTTATGAGTCTATAACACAACTATTTTTGGTGATTTGACAAATGTCAAAGGTAAACCTGTAAAGGTAAAATGAAGGTAGACAATTATTAATGAACGAAAATAATTGGAAAAATATTCTTATTTTTCGCTTTATAGATAAAACGTTGTACATCACACGTGCGTTTAAACATGACTACAAAACTCGTGTGATTAGAACGACTCGGTCTACAACCTCGTCGTTCTAATCCTTCACACTCGTTATTATAATCATGCTCATAAACGTATTTGTAATGTAAATAACTATTTCCTCATTCAGTTGGTACGTACCATCGTCACCAAAAAGTAACTGGGACAGCATCACATTAGCTCTTGTCCTATTACATGAATTTTATTGTCAAATATTTGTCAAACTATGAATCAAATGCATTGAAATGAATGACAGTAGAATTAGTCCAGGAAATTATTATGCATTATTTGTGTCCCAGATACTTTTGGTGACGATGATACACGCCCCAACTGACGTTTGTTTTATTTTAGCCGCCACTGTGAATTGTCAGACTGTCACAGTCAACAAATGAACTTGCGCACGAGCGAAGGCATTATTTTAAAATTTCCGATATATCGAAAAGATTATATCGTTCGATATATCGAATGTAAGATATCGATTAAAATATATCGATATATTTGAGTAATATATCGATATTTACAAAATATCGATATATTTTTGCCATCCCTAATCCTATTAACAAAATGTTTTTATACAGGTACAGGGTGTTCATTTTAAAACTTACCACTTCTATTATCTCGGAATTAAAAATTTTTGAAAAAATTCCTGAGACAGGTCAACCAGGGTTGCCAGATCTATGAAATGAAAAAGCGGGAATAAAGGTTGTATGCATTATTTTTTTGCCACTATGTATGTATAAACAACTAAAAAATAACAACTTTAATTTGAATTTTTGACATTTACGGCTGTGTTAAAACCCAAGAATCGTAAACTAACAGGATTGCTCATCCAGGGGTCGTATTCTCGAATATTCTCGCATACGAAATTGGATACGATTTTGAATGCTCCCCATTTAATTTACATTGCTGTCAGCTAAATTTCGTGTACGAAATGTACTCGAATGAATTCGAAAATACAACCCCTGAGAAGGCGTACGTTCGCTAGTTCTCGAGTCCACAAGGTCTGCAAGTGACTTCACCATATTAGGCATCAGGGCCCGGATTCTGAACCTACGATTCGATAGTATCTTCACTCGTGCAAAAGTACAGACCCGATGATGGACGATACTATATAATCGTGGGTTCGGAATCCGGGCCCAGAAGCTAATAGTTTAGTGGTGACGTCACCCGCAGACCTCGATGAAATGCTTGCGATTCAGGCTCGTTTTTTGATTTTTGCGTCGATTTTAAATGTAGAAATAGCTATTTCTGTAACAAGTTGTAAAATGGGCGTGTTTTTTTGCACTAAATGTGAAGATTGGGTGGAAAAAGCGGGAAAACCGGGACAATTCACGTGAAAAGCGGGACCTCAAATTAATAAAAAAAAGGCGGGACCGATTAACAAAATGCGGGACTGTCCCTCCTAAGGTGGGACGTCTGGCAACCCTGAGGTCAACTATGAGTTTTTATGCAAAATTCAACTTTCCCCTTTCAACCCCCTAGCCTCCAGAGTCACCTCCTAGAAAATCCTAAATGAGAAGGGGGGTCAAGTGCTGCATCATTTTGAAGGATTTTTAATTCCATGCATTTTGGTACTAAATTTCAATCAACTGTTTTGGAAATATTGACAGTTGAAAATAGACTTTTTCGCAACTTTAACAGGTTGTAAAACCTGACCTTACATTCTCATTTTAGATTTTTATAAATTATCATTTGACAGCAAGTTTGAATTTAATCCATGATCAAAAATTCCGGTTAAAAATTTAATCTCTGGTTAAATTCAAAGTTGGTGTCAAATGATAATTTATGAAAATCTAAAATGACATTGTAAAATCAGGTTTTACAGCCTGTCAAAGTTGCGAAAAAGTTAATTTTCAACTGTCAATATTTCCAAAACGGTTGAACTTAGGGATTATAATGCATAAAAACTCATCCCCATGAGATAAAAATGTAAAATCGGCTTTCCTCTAAAATTAACTGTTTAGGTTCCCCCTTCACATTTGAGATTTTTTAGGGGGTGGCTCTGGGGGCTGGAGGGTTAAAAGGAGGGAGGTGAATTTTGTATAAAAATTCATCCCCCCTCAAATTATAGTTGATGTGTTTCAGGATTTTTTTTTTAAAAATTTCAACTACAAGATAATAGGGATGGTAGGTTTTAAAATGAACACCCTGTATAAATTATAACGCCAATTTATCTATTCGCGCTCCAATCGATACAATATTTAGATATTGTTTAAGTTTTTTCGAGACGCAATCGTAGGCTGCTTTTAGGTTAATGAACAGGCCCAGGGCCTTCTTATTGTCTGGCAGTAGTCAGTAATACTGGATTCCCTCCTGGAAAAAATTTAAGAGTGCATTAAAATATTGTTTTTTTTTTTTAAAGAATGTTTTATTCTCCTTGCGATGATTGGTTCTAGTATTTTAATTCGACATGTAGCCAGAGCAACGGGTTTGTATGAATCATGCATGTTTGGGTTTTTCTCTGGTTTACAAATTGGGATAATCACCTGCTTTTGACTAGTCCTTTATTCTTTTATAAAAAGAAATTTGAATGAAAACAAAAATTCAAGAATTTGGAACAGTTAAAAATTAGAATCAAAAAGAAGAGAAATAGAGACAAGACTATTAAGGAAATTTGATCATTTTTCATTTTTATTCCAGGGGTTTTGCTGTTTCTTGATTCTTTTATAGAGAGAATTTTATTTTAGAGTTTTGACTGTTCCTTGATTCTTCTATACCAAAAAAATTTGGATAAAAACAGAAATTCAAGAGCCTGAAATAGAACTAGTGGAAAGCAGTGTTAAAAAATATTATAATTTACCATGTTTTCAGCACGTGAGAGTGGCCTATTAAGTATTTTCAAATTTGAAACTTTTGGTGCCATTCCAAAATTAGTTGAGAACTTCCAACATTTTTCTACCCTTTTTACAGCAATTTAGGATTTTCAGAAACATTCATTAAAAACTTTTATAGTTATTGAAATGCCAGCTCATAATTAGGATAATCATAAAGTAACCAAAAAAAGATGCTGAAATTCTGTACTTACAATATTCAAACTAAATTTTTTTAGGTTCAACGACAATGACTACCAAAACCTGCTCAACCAATTCAAAACCAACAAAAGGGCCGAGCAAATTTTCTCCAACAATTACGACCCCGGCGACATCGCCGCTGCCAAATTCAGTTGGGATTCCGCTAAAATTTGGAGCATTTCGCCACCAGATCGGAATAAAATGATCGAAGAAGTCAATTCAAGTAAGTATAGCTAATTAGAAACTTAAATTTTTCCAATATCCTTGTTATGACGTCATCTGGGGTGTCTCAACATAATGCAAATTTCCATAGGACAGATAGCATCATCAAGTTATTAACTTTAAAAACTTTGCTCAATGCCTATTTATAAAATTAAGTACTTCTTGTTGATTGCAGCTAAACCAATCAAAGTCCGTTTAGACTACAAAATCTCCCACAAAACAAGCAGCTCGTCAGATTCTGGAATAATCTCCAACAATATCGAAATCACTTTGCCACCAGGCACAGCCGAAAAACCCAACCCAGACCGAGCCAATCTACTGAAAATGCTCCAAAACAAACCAGCTGAACCAATTTTGTTACAATACATTTTGCCTAAATTCTTAAAAATCACCAACTTGGGCAACTCGGAGCCTTACAAAGAAATTCTAGCAAGCGACATTGACGATTCTGACAATAAGAATCCAACTTTCCGTAATTTGACGTTGATTTTACTTAGGCCCAACGATACTGCACATGATCAGGAATGGTGGCAAGTGCACGAGGATTGCAACGATACAACATTCAAAAACTATTTGAAAGATTTAGCTTACGAGGATTGTAATTCTTTGGTGATTTATACTCTGAATGATAAGATTTTTCCAGAGACTTTAAACATTATCACGGGAGGAGGGTGAGTGTAACGAAAACACTAAATTAATATTTTTTTTCTAAATCCTGACAATATTATTTTAGAATCATCGGACTCTATACCACATTAGTCCTGGTAGCCTCGAGAATCCTGAGAGGCATTTTTGCAGAACAAGTAGCCAAAATAATGTTTGAAGATCTGCCTAATGTTGACCGCATTTTACAACTAACTTTGGATATTTATTTGGTACGTGAAGCTAAAGAATTCGCTTTGGAAGAAGACTTATTTGCCAAATTAATATTTTTGTTCCGGTCGCCTGAAACTATGATCAAATGGACCAGGCCCAAAGAGGAATTAGATGACGATGAGGATCCAGAAGGAAATTAGAAGTGAGGCCAGTTAGTTACTTGATAACAAAAGTGATAAATAATTTTTAAGAGGTAAAATTCAGTTCAGCTAGAGTTTCAAAATTTTGAAATCTAGTTACCATTGTTTTTGTCACTGAATTTGCCATTAATTTAAAAACTATTAATATTAAGTGTAAAAATTAGTTTTTTTTTTATATTTTGAAGAATCTATTGTTAATTAAGATAACATTGCAAAATCAGTAAACTACCTCTTTGTCTACAAGGTTGCCACTTGTTGCTGAGGACATTTAATGTTCAATTTTGTGTTAGAATTTTGTAGTTTTATATAAATTATCTCGAATTCTAGTCATGATAGTGTTGTGACTTAAAGTTTATTCAGATAATAATGTGTCAATTGAAAGTTGCCTTTATATCTAATTTTAAGACATATCAATTGCGGTTTTAAGACAAATTAAATTTGCAACGAAACCACTTTTTATTTTTATATTAATTATTGTGTAAGATTTGTTTCTGTTAATTGAAAGTTTGTAAGTTTTAAAATGAAATTGTGCACTTGATAGGTGGATAAAAAAAGTTTAGATTTATAAGTTTTACTTGGCAAAGAAATTTTGTTATAATTTTTCATATTGCATATTTTGTAGCTTTTTATATTGTTACGTCACACTGCTTCAAATTTTAATTATTTGTAAATACAATGAGAAATGATATTGGAATTATACATACATATTTTGAGAATTTCAATAGTCTTTTATTTTCCGACATATTGGCAACAGTAATACTGTAGCGCATACACCAAGGTTTTTTTTTTTTTTGAAATGTATTTTTTTTATAGCTACATTGTTGCGTTTGAACTAGTACTGTCAAATACTGAGAAAAATCAAAACCGATTAATCAGTTTCTGAAAAAAAAAATCGATTAACCGATAAAGTGTCGTGTGTTCAGTGTTCTTAGTTTTCGTCGCTTATCTTTCTATTACATAATTTTAACTTGCTATAGTCATTTTGTTTACTATAGATTTAAAGTGTACTTATTTTCTAATTTGTGAAGGATATAAATAATACAATGGAGTTTGAGGTGTCCCAAATGGTCATTCAAATACAAAATCTCAACATAAAAAAAAAATTGAAATTTCATCATTTTAGCACTGAGGTAGCTATTTTATGATTTAGATTTTGAAAAACTTTCAAAGGTCTTTAATCCCCAGAAAATAAAGTGAAATTCAATCCCAAGATGGTATGGCGTCGTGTGGATGTGCTTGGCTCCGGCAAAGTGGCCGAGATGCTGAAAAAGAATGGCCTCGAACTGAGGGCTTTGGTCAGACGTAATAGTGAGCAGTATGCCAAAGTGTGCCATTCAGCCATCGAAAAGGGCACGTGCTACAGTTGTCTCACGTAGAGGAATGGCATGAGGGTACCGTGAGTACCTGTCTACTATGGTCAGGCAGTACTGGTAATCCTGGACCAGTGGCAGTTTGATGTGAATATGATCAAATCGTGCGTCTGGGGTCTTAAAGTTGCCCAACTCTGCTCGGTTGTGGCGATAGTGTTATTGGAAAATTGTTCGAAAATAATTGTTCGAAAAAAAATTGATTGTAAGAAAATTGTTCAAACGGAAAATTATTCGAACAAAAAATTGCTCGAACGGAAAATTGTTCAAATAGAAAATTATTTGAAGGGAAAATTATTTGAACGGAAAATTGTTCGAAAATAATTGTTTGAAAGAAAATTATTCGAACAGAAAATTGTTTTTTTTTTCATACAAAGACTAGCAAGCATTACATGGACTGGTAAGTTTGCATATTTTTGGTTAGTTACGTTACAGTTCATTTAATACTGGTTAGAAGTGTACTGGTTGCCAATAATATTTTGACCTGCGCTCTTTTGTCCGCTCGCTTTTTTGTATCAACGCCGAATTTACGGTTCCGCGGATCTTCTCTTTGAGATTCGGTGAACGAAGCAAGCAATCGGAGATCCAAAAATTATTGAAATTTCGAGCTGTTGTATTTAAGAAAGGTTTTTCACGTTTTTGGTGGATTTACGTTTTCAAGGCGTATAAGTACATTTATTAACAATTTTCCATTCGAACCATTTTCTACTCGAACAATTTTTCTTTCAAACAATTTTCATTTCGTACAATTTTCCATTCAAACAATTTTCCTTTTAAACAATTTTCCCTTCGAACAATTTTCTGTTCGAACAATTTTCCTTTCGAAAAATTTTCTTTGTGAATAATTTTCCGTTCGAACAAATTTCCTTTTGAAGAATTTTACCAGCGACGACAGCCACGCACGACGCCGGGTTTACCGAGTTTCCCTGGTTGGACTGAGGCGCAGATGTAGTGGAAAACGCACAAGGAAGTCTGCGATGCTGTGCTTTGTTGCCCCAGTTTGTATGGTAAAGTCCATTCCAAAATATTTCGTTGACTTCACGGCTATAAAACCCTACCATAAATTAGATAGCTATTAGCCTCTATTGTGTAGGTACCAGGTTCTTTTATGTAGGTACCGGGTTCCTTAATACCCACTCAAAGGTTTACAGGTACGGATTTTATGCCCATTATAATGAAAACGAAAAAGGCGTTTCATAATATTATTTATTTATGTTATAATCTTATACTATCTTAATAATTACCAAAACTTAATATCTAATACAATATAATACAATACACAATTCAACCAAACCTAATCTATATTTAGTTCCGTTTCACTGTCACTGTCATCTTCATCTATGCCTAAACTAATTATTAATGGCTTAACATTAATACCTATTGAATTATAGGTTTCTTCAACTTTTATAACGTGATTGACAGAATTTTTCCAGCTTTGAACTGGAATATTATCTACACATTTTCTAATTAAATCTATTACAGCAGTACTAAGTGTAGGAGAGGTGTTTCCTCTCCTAACCATTGCCTTCAATTCATGCCAGATATGTTCTATTGGATTGAAAATACAATAATATGGAGGAAGACGCAAAACTGTATGACCACAAGCGCTAGCAAGATCGTCACAAATATATTCTTTTTTAACATTATATGATTTCAAAACGTTTAAAAGATCTTTCTTTGTATAATTTTCTTCGAAATACATATCATTTTCCATCATATATTTTTGAAGTTCTACTTTTGTATTACGGATGATTCACTCACACTTTGATTATGATTATAGCCTCTCTGCAGAAGGGTTAAATAAACGTTCCTCACAATTTCCTTGGCATCTAGCGATAAATGTTTTTTTTTTGAAATACCACTTCCGGTTGCAATACTACCATCATTTGCCCATGGACGCCACATTTTTTTTGTCAATATAACAGCTCTAGTTCTGCACAAAGACTAAATAATTTAACTAAAACATTCACCCACATTTACATGTACATCTCACCTAGGCAGGTATAATAAATAAAATCAACCCGGACCTGCTCACAGGTAGTCGAAGTTTGTGGTTGAGGGTATCATCAACATTTTATTGATACTTGAAGAGTCAACGAATTATTTTGGAATGGACTTTACCAGTAAAATTCTGTTTCTGAGTCTGCACCTGAAGCGAGAGGACCGGTCGCGCGGGGGCCCATTTGCAACACGATTTCGGGATCTGCCACGCTCCGGAGGCACTAGACTTGAGCTAGAAACAAGAGTATTATTATTGTTCGACAACTGGTTAATTAATATCCATATTTTTGCCATATCCCGAGACATTGCATCCATTCTTGCATTGGTTGCATCGAGACTTGCGTTTGTCTGTTCCAAACCAGACAGTGTTGTGGAAGAAATTGGGGAAATATCAGCCCCATAGGAAGGGTTGTGTGGTTGCGGCAAAGTGGAAATAACTGTGGGACCAAATTCCATAACTTTGTCCGCAACAGAAGCCAGAGCGTCTAGGGTTTGCTCCGGTAGAACGGCGAGCAAACGTTGGGTTGAAGAATGTAGTAAGTCAAGCCATCTTACCTTCAAGACATTGTCGCCCACTCCTGGTGGAGCGCATATGCCTTAGCAGTTGTGTAGGCTTCCTGTCACCAAGCTCCAAGTTTGTCAACATTCTGTGGAGTTGGGCATTGGGACTTTCAGACAACCGATCCATTAATGCAGTTTTTAGGACTTCATATTTGTCGGTGACTGGTGGGTTGAGTAGCACATCAGCCACCTTAGCAATTATTTTGGCAGGGAGCTCTTGGACAACCATATAAAATTTTGAAGTATCGTTGCTCACCTTTTAGTGTCTGAATGAAGACTCAACTCTAAAAACCATAGGTTCACCATGGTTGGCCATAAAGGCGGTAATTTAACGCTGGAAACTGCACTCAACGAGACAGAAACGATCGGATTTAATTAATTGTGATAATCCTTTAAATTTGCACTTCGATTCACAGCCGGGCTTGCGGGGTCATTGTTTATGTTTATGTTATCATAGGGCAGCGATTGAGCACCAAGTGTTGTCGAACGTCAAAATACTGAGGGCGGGTATAAAACTACTTTGAGAGTTAACTTAAAGTTAACTTCTGAAAATACATGTAAAGTCTGTTTTTTTTTTTAAAGATAATAGACCTATCTATTTTACCAGACAAAGAGGGAATAATACGAAAACTTCATTTAACAAAAAAAGACACAACAAAACGCTCATTGCGCAAGACGAGGCAAAACGTACCAAATTATGTTAGACTTACGTATAGCAATCCGTCCTTCTTATTTGCACAGGATAAAAAGGAAAGGAGAAAAACCGCGTGTTGTGCAACGTATTTGTCAATGAAAATGTCAAACAACTTTTGAATGACACTTGTCAAGTTGAATATCAACTTTAGATTTATTCTTGTCAGACCACGTGCAATGAATAAGGATAAAGAGATGCCCAGCATGCAAAACGATCACCTCACACCTGTATTAGCTAACCAATAAAAAGACATTACCTCATGTTGCGCGCGCATACCAGGTAAAAATAGATAGGTCTATTCCCCAAGTCAAAAATTTAGTAACTATGTTGGCAACACAAGCCTTTTCTACATAAAAAATTTGAAAGCTTGACAATTTTCCATTAACCCTTTTCACGTGGCTCCGGTTTAACAAACCGCAACATACCGCTCAAATTCGAGTGGTAGGTATCCATCACGTCACTTTACTTTGTAACTGGGTTACTCGGGTTAGAAAACGGTATGTCATTTCTCTAACCGTTTTGTAACCCGATTACTTAAACTGGAGCCACGTGAAAAGAACTAACGTGTTGCCAACATAATGTCATTTTGACTTTTATCTTAAAAAAAAAACAGCTTCGGGATCACGAAGCTCGATATTCGTTTAAGTTTTGTCACTTTTGATCGAAAATCGAAAGGACTTGTTCATGACTTTCGACTGATCGATTTATTTCGATCGAAATGCCTCGACAGGTTCGGAGGTCTCGAATTAGGTTAAATTTCGTCTATTTTTTCAATATATCGTAAAATTCTCATTAAAATAAAAATGTTACGTTATCCACGCTATACTGCAAAGACAAAGAAATAGACGTTGCCAGAATCTTGAGCTTGTAGGACGAAGACAAATTTGTGTGGTAAAAGCAGGAACCCTTTTCTCTTCCAGAGGCAAGTTTTGTAGACTTATTTCGTCCTAATTAACGACAACTACAGAACTTATGCAGTTGATACGACCACATGTACAAAGCGAATACTTGCTGGGGCAGTTACTCTAGAAAAGATGGTGCTATGTACTTTAAGATTTCATGCCACTGGCTCTTATCAGAGATGCATTGGTGAAGAGTATAATTTTGGTGTAGTCCAAGTTTATTGTTGAAATTTGAATTACAAAACACGAGACTTATATTTACATAACCAAAAAACTGAAAAGCGACATCGCCTTCCATTTTCGAAGTACGTAACGTTAGCAACAATCGAATAAACTTGATTTCCAACTCGATCGAGTTTCGTGAACAATCCACTCGAGTCGCTTATCGTTTGACCGGATATAATCGAGCGAACCTCGTGATCCCCATGCAGATTTTATTTCAAACAATGAACTATAAACTACACGCACCTGAAATGGCACCGACCGTTGTCGGATACACAGAACGTCGGATATGGCATTTGTATGGCATTTGTCATCTCTCTTATGGCCGGTATTATAAAACACTGAACCGATGGTTGAGTTTCAACCTTCGGTTGAATCCTATCAATGGACCTTTCTCATGCAATGAACAACAAGGATAGTTTATTAAAATTTCTGCAATAAAGAAAGAGACACTTATAATGACGCGAGTTACCTGTGTGGAATGACTTTGATGTGACTTTGATTGGTTCCACCTGTCAAATTGTGCAATTTCGGTTATGTTTCTGTTTTTGTTTATTTTTAAACGTAAATATGACAAACATGTGGGGGAAAAGTTTGGAGAATTTTGAAAAGTACGAATTTGCAAATGCTAGCAAATTTTTCAGCACTAAAGGATGGACTAAAAGGCAAGTAACTAGAGGATATAAGTTTTTTACCGAACGTTATATCCACAAAGTGTTCACGGCCGGCAAGAATGTAAAAGCGTGCTGCTATCGAAGTCAAAAGAAAAATTTGAAACTTCACAGCCTTTCTATGTCTTTCCAAGAAGTCGACGAGTTGTTAGAGTTAATAGAAGCTCATTGCAGTTGTGAAGCTGGGTAAAAGACACTGATTTGATTACCTACAATATTATGAATAAAAGTCATATTTCAGCAACTCGGAATCATGCAATCACGTGGTTGGACTAGCCCATTACTTGGACGATTTAATTCGCAGAGGTTGTACTGTAATACCCGATGATGAAGAGATGTCTTGTACATCACTTCCCATGCAGTGGAACAAACCCAGAGGTGCGAAAATTTTACCGGAAAAAGTGTGCACCTCTGTTTTTGCAAGTCCCATTAATACGGAAAGGAAAAAAGAGCCTGTACAATCGACCTTTAGGTGCCCTTTTTATAATGATGTGTTGAAGGAGGTAACAAATAAAGAAGTTGGAAAATTACGCGACAGTTTAGGTCCTGGAAAGTGCTTAACAAGCTTTTTCTATATAGCTGGGAACGAAAATCCGGCTCCTACAGTTTCCCTTTCCAATGGTTCGCACTTCAACAATGACTCTTTGGATTGAGTTTTAAAATAAATTTCATTTTAGGCATGTCAGCCCCTCGAGGTTCAGTCCTGGAACTCATGGATCAAGGGTTTTCCCAGACATTAGAGGTGCAGCCTTCTTCAAACGAGCGCAACTTACCTAATTTGCGTTCCGATGCTGTAAATATTTTGCTAAGCTTACCACCTGTGTATCACAGTAGTTTGGAGGAAATAACTTTTGAACATTCCGTTGCCATCGAAAAAGCTACAAGAAATCAGTCAAAGTGTAAAATGTGGAAGGATTTGCGCCGATTGCGGTTCACAGCGTCAAATTTTGGTGCAATATGTAAGCGGCGTTTTTTTAACAACCACTTTTTGGAAGGATACATTCAAGGACCTAAGGATATCTCGAACATTGGAAGTGTGCGGCATGGCCTTGAAAATGAGAATACTGCCATACGTTTGTATTTGTTGCAAAACACAACTGTAAAATATTTCAAATGTGGTCTTGTTGTGCACCCGTATGCTAGTCACTTAGGAGCTAGTCCAGATGGTATACTTTACAAAGAAGGCAATTGGGGAATATTAGAAGTGAAATGCCCCTGCACCCGAAAATCAGAAAGGCTGTCCGACTATTTAAAGATGCCAACGTTTTGCTTGAAGGAAAATGATGGCGAATTAATTTTAAAAAGAACGCACAGTTACTTCCATCAGGTCCAAGGCCAGATGTTACTAACGGGTTTGCAATTTTGTGAATTCGTAGTGTATATAAAAAGTTCGCAGGAATTACTGACTGTAACTGTAGCATTCGATTTTAACTTCTGTGATGATATGTACAAGAAATTGACGAATATATATGAAACTTACATTTGCCCTTTGCCGGCTCCAACAAATGTCGAACCTAGCATATAAATCAGCGTTGCACTTTTCAAGAAATTTTCATCTATTTAATATTTGATATTTAATATTCAATATATTAATTTATACATTTTGTTTTTGCTTTTTATTTAATTATAATAAACATTATATGTTTATGCCCTCAATTTATGTCTGAAGACACATAGGACGCAACATACTGTGTAGATTTGTTCTATACTACCCAGCATAACGATAGGTATTTTTCTGCTTAGAATGCTATATTTTTTTAAACGGCCGATGGCCCGCTCCACATGTATTCTTTCGTGAGCAATGTTGCGGATCCACTGCACTTCATCTTTTGTAAACTGTGTGTGGCTCATTCTAAAAGTTGGAATGTTGATGTCGATATCAACACCTTCTAATAAGGAATCTGCCTGGGAACCCTTATCAGCTAGAATAATATCGCTGTTAAAAAGTTCTTTGTCAGCCAGTTTTCTTTTTAAAATTTTTATAAAACCGCTTTGTTCCATAATACTTTTGTCAGAAATCGAACCGGTAAATAGGGGGGACATGTAGATGATTGTACCATTGGGATCGGTTAGCGATAGAGATTTCAGGGTGGTACTCCCTTTATAATTGGAATAGCATTGGCTCTGTCTTACTAACGATGAAGGCGTTTCAATAAAAAATTCAGTGCAATCAAGACTTCCAACTACATTTGCATATTTTTGTTGAAATCCTATTGGGGCATTTTCAAGAAGGACATTTCGATGCGGCCATATGTTCAGTTGTCCCAATCTTATGTACATGAGATTGATCCAGCACAGGAAAATTTTGCCCGCGGTAGCCTTGGACACATTAAATAGATCTCCCAATGTTTCATAGTTAAACCCTCTCCTCAGCTTCAACATAGTTAACAAAAACTGTTGCTCAGAATCCATGGTGAATTTATGCACTTTATGGGGCGTTTGTGATGATTTCTGATGTATGTTTAAATCACATGTGCTTCCTGAGGGTAGGACAAAATGAAAAACAGCTAGCATTGTTTCAAAAGTCTGAAATCCGGTGTAGTACAATGTTTTCCTATTACTATTTTTGAACTTGTCGAAAGTAAATAAAGCTTTAGCCTCACATACATTGGGCTTTAATCTTTCATTTTCCATCTTTAAATACTCCACTTCTTGTTTATGAGTAGATAATTCTCTTTCACAATTATTAAGTTTTTTCTTTAGAAAATCAACCTCTGCTTTTAAATTTTCATTCACCTCCTCCAGTCTTTTCTTCTCCACAGACAACCATCCACTGAGACTGGGCAGCTCTTTTGATATTACATCTCCGACGGCTTCCTTTTCACTCGACAAAGTTTTGTCCAACTTCAATCTTTTTGCATCCGGTCCAACTGTTGGGATTGAAATATTCTCTTTGTTATCATTGACTGCTAGTTCGGGTATTTGAGGGTTCTTTGTAGGCACTGCATTGGATGCTAATTTGTGTACGTTACCACCGCGGATAAAATCCGTTGCACAAAAATGTTTGCAGCAAACCTTTAATTGAACAATTATTATTGTATTTGATATAGAAATCATTATTTCCTACTTAAATCGTCTTCAGTCATGTTTAAAGCACGTAACCATTGTTTTCTTACAATTTGATTCCTTGGGAACTTGTGAAAAGAAACGTTCGACTCCTTTTTCGCCTTACTCGGACACGATCTCACACAACACATTTGAACCATTGTATAATAAACAGTATTTTTAATAATTATCAACTATATTGATTGATTTTGACTGATTATTGTCATTATTGAGGTTAGCGTAAAAAACGTCAAGTTAAGACTGCGTTCATTTAATTGAAAGTTTTATTATCTGCCACCCACAAGCTGCGCGCGCAGCACAGGTAAAATGAGAAAGGTCCATTAGGCAATCTCAATCACGTGATTTTATAATGGCCGTTCGGGTCAAATATTGCGGTGACAAGCCGGTGACGTTTGATGTTCATAAGGAGAGCATTTGTGTTCTGGCCCTTGCTGCTTTCGAAGTGAATTTTATGTATTTCTACGTATTTTCCATTGGTTTTGGTTTTGGTCATTGTTGTTTTTATAGTGAATTTTATAGACTTTAGTATTTCTACGTATTTTTTAGTGTTCTGGCCCTTGTTGTTTTCAAAGTGAATTTTATAGTGTTTATAGTGTTTCTACGTATTTTTTAATTTATTAATAAATTCTGAGATGGAGAGTGAATATCTTAAGGTACCTAGGATTATTAGGGGAAAATCGAGCTTTTAGCAGCAATCCATAAAGCCCTGCGTTGTTTTGATAATTCATATTTGTAGATCAAAAGCCAATGATTTAAAATAGCAGGAACTTAATAAAATTTCACATTATCCCTGTTACCTCGACTTCCACATCCAATTACAATGCAAATCGCTGGCATTTTAATTAACACAATACCTAAACACAAAATCCGATAATTCAAATTTGGACGTTGGTCCAGAATGTGACAGAATCAATGACATACAGAATAAACAACACAGTGCTTGACCCGAACTTCCATATTGAATTTGGTTTTTGACAGGTCAGTAGATTGCCTAATTTGCATGGAGTCAACCGAAAGTTGAAACTCAACCATCGGTTCAGTGTTTTATAATACAGTGTGGATAATGTTACGGAACTTCCGGTCGAATATTTTTTTTTTTTATTAACCCGGAATTTCCGAATTATTATTTTATTATTATTCGTTCGGAAAATAATACACCATGTACCCCTTCAATGACACAATGACACAATCATTACTCCCCATACCCCAGGCCGCATTGCGCTAGCGCTGGCGCTAGCGCCGCCAATTTCGAATTTGAATTTTCTATTTTCTCCCGGACAATCAAGCAGGTTCAATATCAGAAAAAGGATTTCGCCACGCATAATATTTTTTCCAAACATTTCAAGTCGTGTAAAAAAAATAATTGACATCTATGACTGTCAAACCTCAATATTTCCCTTTTTATTTTTTTTCGGCCTTAAGACGTACCGTAGCGAGGAGGGTCAAATCTACTTTTTGACGTATTTTTTTCGTTAGAATTCGTTATTTGAATTTTTTTGACAAAAAAATTCAAAGGGTCTATAGCCTTCGATTTTTTTTTTAAATTTTCAAACCGTCCTAACTCGAAAACGAAAAGCTTGGGAGAAAAACTTATAGAACTCGTCGAGTACTACAAAAAAGCCTATCAGAAGTATCCCTCCACGGGGCACCGTTTTCGAGAAAATCAACCTCGAAAATTTTAACAAAATTACAAGAAATTTCAACTTTGACAGCCAATATCTCAAAGACAAAAACGGCCTAGAAACTCCATAAAATAATATTTTGTAGGTAATTTAATCCTCTTTCAAATGAGATATGACTCGAAACGATCGGTTAAGAAATAGCGGAGTTATAGGCGAAAAAGTGGTCTCATGTCGGATACCCACAATTTTTTTCTGATCAAAATCGAAATTTCCTTTTTTTTCGGCCTTAAGATTTACCGTAGCGAGGAGGGTCAAATTTACTTTTTGACGTATTTTTTACTCCTCTATCCGATAGAATTTTTTATTTTTTTGAAATTTGATATTTGAATTTTTTCGACAATGCAAGGACTAGTACGCATTGCGTGGACGGGTTAGTTTGCATATTTTTGGTTAGTTTCGTTGCAATTCATTTAATACTGGTTATAATTGTACTGGACTACTAGTTAATAACAAAGCGCGCAAAGCGCGCTGTTTTTTTTCTAAATTCAATACATGCAAGGACTAATACGTACGTATTAGTGGACGGGTTAGTTGGGGCTAGTTTGCATATTTTTGGTTAGTTTCATTACAGTTCATTTAATACTGGATATAAGTGTACTGGACTACTGGTAAACTCTCGGGTAAACTGGTACACAAGTAAAAAAACAATCCGGACGAATAATAATATAATAATAATCCGGAAATTTCAGGCTAATAAAAAAAAATATTCAACCGGAAGATCCGGATGATCCCTTTATAATACCGGCCCTTAGTGCGTCCAAAGAAAGCTATATAGTGGGGGATCACTTTCTCTCTCTATTTCATTGCTGTTAGGTTTGGTGTATATTCCTAACCTCAAATAAAATATTTTTTAGACAAGGAAAGATTTTCATAAGTGACCCATAAGGTAAATAGAGATAGGAATCCCCTACACTCTCCATCTCAATGTGCCGCATTTTGGAGATAGGCCGGGCCATTCCAGGTACGTGTAGTTTATAGTTCATTAGTTCTTTTCACGTGGCTCCGGTTTAACTAACCGGGTTACAAAACGGTTAGAGAAATGACATATCGTTTTCTAACCCGGTTACATAAGTGACGGGATGGATACCAACCACTCGAATTTGAGCGGTATGTTGCGGTTTGTTAAACCGGAGCCACGTGAAAAAGGGTTATTGATTTCAAAAAGTTAACTTATTAGGCATTCCAGGTTGACGTCATAAGCGATCCGCCATTTTAGCTGAGGGGCAAACACAAGCCAAACATAACCTGATTTAGTGTTATTTTCAATGCAAACCGAGAATTTTTGAAGTATTATTTTGTGAAGATGCCTTCCTTTTGTGTTGTTTTTGGGTGCTCCACTAGAGCTGAAAGGGATAAAGTGAGGTTTTTTAGGATTCCAGCAGCATTCAAAGATCGAGGGGATCGCATAAACGAGCTATCAAAAAAACACCGGAGTATGTGTGTGTGAATTAGATGCCTCAAAAGGTGAGATTTGTCTGTAACGTTGTTGGAAATGCTCGAATTTGTTCGAAACATTTTGTATGGTAAGTTTTATGACTGTTTTGTTGTTAAAATACAAAAACACTTAATCTCGGTATATCAAAAAAGTTGTTTATGTTTCTACAAGTAGGTAACTTTTAATACCTTTTAGGTAGTCCAGTAGAATTTAAGGATACAAACAATCCGGATTGGGTCCCCAGTACAAATTTAGGATATACTACGATAATAGATAAAAGCCCAGAATGAACAAGCCAGTAAGCTAAGCTACATGCCAGATCTGTGCACCGATCAGAACAGT